TTTTTAGATATTGCAGCAATGCACAGCCACCGAGCTGATTGCACCACAAACGCCAAACTTAACTTGGTCAAGCCAGTTTTTTGTTGTTTTTTTTTTGTCTATTTTCCTGTTTGACGGTAACAGTTCTCATCTTGCCTGTGAGCCCTGCTGTTTCAATCAGAATCAAAGAGTATAATTAGCTCATTTTGTTCTCATTATCACTTGCAAAATGCAAGAGGGGGACAGCAAAGGCAAGGAGGGAAGGGGGAGAGAGCTGCAGCTTTGAAATGCTAAACAGGCCTCTCATTGTTCTTGGCCAGCTGCTTTAGCCCCCCAAAAACAAAAACCTACGCGTGCCCCTGTGAATGTATGCACACATGCATGTGCGCGTCTCCATCTGCCCGAGGGGGCGAGGGGGGCAACAGCATTCTCTCCGTGATTATACACACATGCTACAGCTGCTTTAGATCATCTGCCAAAGTATTCACACGAAAGCATGCGCTGTACATGTGTAGCAGTGTGTGCACATGCAGCAGCATGGTGGAGGTCAGGGTAACAGAAATGAGCTAAACGCATCCAGTCAAATAATACACTCTGCTATCGTGCAACTCTGAAGGAGTTTAAGAAAACAAGAAACATGAAAAACAGCATCATAAGTTTCCTTTGGCCACTTGTTACTCAGCACTTTGAGAAAACATTATTTAGATTGATAAACGACTTACGGATGTCTTAAATAAAATGAATCCAACCACTAAATATGGACGTTCTCTGAAAGCGTAGCATCTTGCTAACAAGAGGCAAGCAGATGATATTCCTCATCTAACCCTAATGATGTCTTTTTTTTCTTTTTTTTTTGCACTTTTATCAATACTCTATGTGTCAAAGCATTCACAGTACTGAGCAGTGAAAACATCATGAGTCAGCAGAAAAATACAGCAGAAACTCTAAAGCAGCACAGCTAACTACCTGCTCCTGTCACAAACCATCTAACCTGCTTTAGCTGTCCAATCTGGTTTAGTGGTTAGTTATTCTGCGTCTTCAGTTTCTCAATTTATTCTTACTGCCACCACTGCTCGTGAGAATATTCAGTTTCAAGACTTCAACAGAAGTTGCAAGAAATGACATTTATTTTTGCAACTTTGGAGCAGAATGTTGATTTTACTTGACTTTTCTACTACCAATTCTTCAGACCAGAGAAGGGAACTATGCAATATAAGCTCACACACGGACAAGATTTTAACAAATAAAAACAATATAATTTGCAGGATCTCATTGTTAGCGTTGAAGTTTGACTTCTACTGCATGTGAAAGAATGTAGAGTAATCTAAAGAACCAACCTATGAGGAGAGATTGTTCAACTTTAGAGATGCACTAATCTGGCTTTTACAAGTCACTTCAATTTCAGTTTTCTGGAATGCAGATTCCAAATTTGGTCATTTATGGTTTTTCTTCATAAGGGATATGAAAATACTGAGGTTTTACCATATGCTTACAAAAAAAATACACTAGAAAGAAAACATTATATAATAGCATTTACTTAGTGTTATCAAAATATATTTAATATCACAAGTATAAAACTGTCATAAATAAAACATCCTTAATTTGAGCTCTGCACAACGTAATGCAGAAAAGGCTATTCATTCTGACTAAAATGTCATAATGTAAAAAATATTTTAAAAAATAAATCCTGGAAACTACAAACTCACATTGGAAAATACCTTCACCTTCTGCTTGGTACATTTATCATGAAATAAATGCCTCATAACTACAGCTTATACATACAAGTCTTAGCACCAATTACTTTGTAAAGGACAGAGATAAAGCTAAAGATTAACTGAGTGGCAGAAAGTTTGGCTTTGACTGGGAGACGCACTGAGTGACCAGAAAAACAGCACATTCAGAAATCACCATAAGCTTCAACAAACCTTAACAATAAATAATCACTGACTGGGAAAAAATGCAACCATTGATTCTTTATTTCAGCACCCATTGTGTGTTTGCCATTCTGACATTGTGGCGTGTCCCAGGAGGGATTACTGCACTAAAACTCTGAGGTGACCCCCAAACCTAACCTTCAGGCCAGATTCTACTAACGTACATCCTGATCGCATCTCAGCTGCAAGGCACCTTTAACCTTCCCTAACAGACTCGTTTTCATCATGACGCATTCCTGAATGAGGAAAAACAGAGCAGGGACAGTTTTATTTTGCATATTCAACATTGCAGATGTCACCATCACAGTCTGGTGTGTGACACACACTCATTTTACATGATATATTATCCATACCCTTAGCACTAAACTGTTCCCCTGTCCCATCGCCATCAACTTAGGCATAACTGGGACACTCCTTTACAAAGCTGACCCATCATCACTCAATCAGAGCATGTCGTTTAACTTGTCTGGTTATCAATCAATAAGATAATATTTTTTTATGCTTCTTAAAGAAAAAGGGACTTATTACAGAATAAAAACTATAACAAGCAAATAAATGTGAATCTATTTAAAATACCTCTAGGATTATCGAATATGTCTATCAAGAATAATAAAATAAAATAAACCATTTATGTTTATTAATTGTTTCAAAATAGTAAACAGAGTACACAAACCTTTAAAACTTCCCTAATGTATGGTGATGATGGGAAGACAGGCTGCATCAAAATCATCTGTTTACTACATTTATTTCAAGACGAATCGTGAAAACTAGATATTTGTGTTTTTATGCATTTGTTCTTGTCGTGACATATTTTCAAATGGAAGCATTACATTATTTTTGAACAACTAAAACAAGAAACATTTTGGATGCATTTAAGTAAATATTCTAAAGGTTGTCGACATGGCAATTTATTTAAACCGAGAAATATTTGGTATTTGCTGTTTTCTGAAGGCATTAATAATGACAATAAGTCACCACTACTGAAATTACATTCCAAGTTACATTTCTAAGAGTTTTTGCAATGAACGCATAAAAAGTGTGCCTCCGAAAAATCTGTTTTCATAAAACCCTGCTCCTACCAAAGCCCACCAGTATGTGGGTATTGGTTGCAGATCATTGCAGTGGAAATGATCCCGTAAATAAAGGAGAAATTAAAAAAAAAAAACCCTGAAATATCCAGCGTGCAAGATTTATAAATGGAAACTTAACGATTCTTCCTCAGAGTGTGTGCAGCCCTCCATCTCCTCAGTACTACTTCATTTGTCTCGTATATAGAACAACATGCTGGACAGCTCCCCGCCTCCCCTGCTGCTCATGCTGGGCAGCCTTCTTGTCTCAGTAGCTGCTGTTCCAGCGTGGCGCTGTCCAGGTGCTTTGGTCCACATTTGATGTGCTGCACGAAAGAGAACCAAACCAAGCGAAGGTGTGAAATCTTTTGGTATTCCACACCCAAAGGTGTAGGAGGTAAAATGGGATTAAGCCACCGCCTCACCGTTGGCTGTCAATGTATTAACAGCTGATATTTTAGCGTTGACGAATCTGCTGCTACGCTTTTCGCCCCAATGGCTCCGTTTGTGATTACGCTAGCGAGTGCAGTGTTCCCTCAAAATCATCTTTAAATTTGCTTTGTGGGCTGCAGTGTCAAACATTTTTGATAATAATGCAAAATACAAAAAAATATTCTTTTTTTTTTTTTACATATGAAGCAACATGGCTTGGACTCGGTCAAACAAATGTTTAGATTTTTCTGAAAAGTAGAGTATTTTAAATGAATTATGTATTTTATGTAAAAAAAAAATAATAGAAAAATCAACCAAGCAGATGTATTGTCCCAAACTTAATAATTACCTTGTGTAAAATCCATATTATACCAAAAATTAGAAAGCCATAACTTGAAATAGTATGCTACAGTAATAAACATGACCTTTTGACTTAATATGGAACTATTACAAATCAACTGAGAGAAATTTAGGTTTATTACTAAAAAGGGGAAAAGAATTAATCACAGATGATGGTTGATGGTTATCTCTATACTCACGAGTGAAATTACTTTGCAATATCAGCTTTTAAAACGCAGTCATCGCCTTAATTTTTAACCTATGCACAAGATCTTGGCATCATTTAAATTGCAGCCAATGCTCCTTCAGAGGAAATTGGTTTTAACACACAGCTCCTCTGCTTGCATATCTGTTTCCCAGCCCTGAAGCACCACATCAACATTCCTTACGGCCTAAATTTTCACCATTACTCATGGTTAAATAGGTGAAAGGTGAAACAGGGGTGTAGTTCAGCATGTAAAAAAATTGCTCCAGTCAAGGTTCAACGTTTCAGGTGTGCTGTATAATTTTAGAAGCAAACGACCATGTCATAAACACGTTTTTTTAATGCTTTAGTACCCCTTGTTTTTTAATGACAGAAGCGGGTAGGTGGATTTATTTTGAGATTTCTGACACACACCAAATTAGATCAAAGCCCTGTGTCTGGATGACCACTGCCAGCCTGACAACCCATGGCAGGTAGGGCTTCATCTCCGCGGCCACGAATCTGATTACTCTGTGTCCACTCGTCGAGGCTGCTAATTTTTAAACAGGCCCACAGAACCCAGCAAACCTGGATGTTCAGAGACAGAGTCGGTTTCGCTCGAGTCAACTATGGGCGTACCTTCCGCTCTGCACAGACACTTGCGTAATACAGACCGGCCCTACCGCTTTAACAATGTTGTAGAAAGGAATTCCGCTATATGCTGTGATCTAAATTCAGACATTTATTATACCGGATCTCCGGGAGTAGGAAAGGGCTTGGTTGATTTTTTTTTTCCATCCTGGGTTGGTGCCAAGCCAACGCTTCACTCTCCGGTGACCCAGCCCAACCCTGCCCCGGTGCGGCCTGCTGCACTGACCGGCCCCCGGTCAGCAGCAGTGTGCGCCGCTGAGCGACATCCAGGCTAAGCTACTCTGTGCTAGCATGACACTTGGACATGTAGAAAAATGAGAGAGAGAGAAGGCAGACCACAGACCACCGGGGGCCTATGGTGCATGCAGGGGGGTGGGGGGAAGCAGCTCTAGGATTACAGTAAGGTGTACTCACGGCTGACTTTCATGCTGCCGAAAGCAGAGGGCTGCGGCACTGGCTTGCAGCTCTCGGCGAAGGATGTGGTCCTGGGCCGACCCGACATGATCCAATCCCTTTAATTCTTTCGACTTGCTAAACGGCAGGGCTGATCGAGTCGCCGAACCTTCTCATCCAAAGAAAAAAAAAAAAGGGAAAAAAAGAAAAAAGGCTGACAGTAAATTAATATCTGTGTGTCTCGGAATAGGGGCACAGGCAGAAAGAGAGCCCGTTAGAACAGTTTTATAATCACAAAATAAAACTGTCTAATCTTTCCCACCGACGGTCAATCAAAGCATCATTTCCCTCCTTTATAGTCCAGGTTCTTTCAACGGGCCTCAAAAGACACGTCTCCGACTGAAATAGTCATGAATCTGGCCTCTCCCCGTGGCCCCGTGTTTGATAAAAAGTCCTTTTCAGGGTGATTTCCACAAAAATGAACAACGGTCAGCTCGGTTGTCGGTCCAGAAGCAAAACGAGCCGTTTGCTTGTCAATTCAGGGACACATGCAGCTCCTCTTCATATCCCGATGTGGAGCCTCAGTGATCCGACTGCCATGGCGGCTCCCTCACTATACCAGAGCCTAAAGATCTTCTAACGGAAAACCTGTCCGTCGCCGCAGTCTTTATGCGGCTAATTTACACACTTTACGCTGGTGCTAGCTCCGGCCTCACCGTCGTCAAATTTCGGCGTCTGTACCTCGCCCCTGAAGCGGTGAGCCCCTCAGAAAATGATGGTCTTCAGATACAGAATGCGACGATACCGAATGTCTTTTTTTTTCACTCCTTCCCCATAGGTTTCAGGCTCGCAGTCTTTGTCGCTGCGTATTTTACGTAAGTAAATTTCGTAAAGAAACACATGTCAAAGAAAGGAGTTCACGCCGTGAACGTAGCTCGCGACGCTGAATACGAAAACCGTGAACGCGCACACGCTGGATCTGGGTGTTGAGTTTAGCCAATCAGAGACAGTATCCTTCAGAAATGGGTGTCAACCGCGTGCCTGTGGTCCAATAGCAATGTCGGTCTTGAACACCACATGGCATTATTTGCTCGCTGCCCTCCCCTCAAGACTTCAAAGGCTTTTTCCAGTGCCATGACGGGGACAATGGGCGGGGTTTTACACAAGATTGATGACCTTTTCGACCAATGGAGCTTGAAAAGCAGGCTGTCAGTTCAAAATCCCCCCCCAGCTGTCACAGAGCACCGGTGGTCATGCAGCACTGTTGCTATGTTAGTCACAAAATCCTATCCTCTACCTTTCATGGACAACTTTTTTTAAACGTCCTCTTGGCTCCTCCAATTAGTTGTTGCCATATTGCCGAGTCATTCTAATGAAGTTCATGCACATGCGTGTATGAATACCGGTTTATTAACATTTATTTTACCCTTATTTGCAGCGGTATCACAGTTGTAAAAATCACTATATGTGTTTGCTAGAACTTAATGTTCTGATGATCATATACCATCATGATGGTGATTATTATTATCAATATAATTATTTTGTCCTCTACAGGAATATGTAATGTCCTTTACGACATAAAATACAAGCCATAACATTTCATAAAATCATAATAGTCCTAAACTTTTCAGTATTATCTATTTATATTTCTTCTCTAATTAATCTCACTGTGGTCCGGTATTTTTTTATGGATATTTTTCATTAGTTGGATGTTATGATTAATGGTTATTTAACAGTTCCCAATCAAATAATTGCAGAGCTCTGTATAGACTTGCTCTTTGTATTAATAATATAATAAATTATGGTAGGACAAGTAATGAAAGATAATCTTTTTTTTTAACTCTGAATATTCAGTAAAAAATCTTAAACATTAATAAATGCTTATCTTTTTTCTAATTTTCTTTTGTCCATTAAATCTACATTTATTTATAGAGATTGTAACTTTTAAAATGATCATTTAAACAATGATTAGAAATCTAATCTTGTGATAGAGCACAATATCTGATTGAGAAATATTCTAATTGTTTGATGCGAGTATGGCACATCTCAAAGAGAATGCATGCAAATTACTGCTCCTAAAAGGAGAATCTTTCCTTTTTGCTGACGTTAGTGTGTCGGCAGTCTATCTTTTGTGTGATCTATTTATACTTTGTTGTGTCATATATCAAAGGGAATTTCTCCGAGGCTGTCCTTCAATGATTCGTGCACAGCAAGATTTTAAATGCAGGCAGCTGAGCAGAAGTAATGAAGGAAACTGCTTTGTCTTCATAGCAACTCATCCCCTGGCAGCACAAGGGGAGGAAAAAAATCACAGAGGAACATAGATAAACAACAGAGAAAGCAAAACCAGTGCTGAGAAGACAAAGTCCAATTAGAAAGTGAAGAATAAATGTGGTGCTCTGCAAGAGTACAGCCTTCGAACATTTTCTTTAGATATGGACTTTGACATTTTTCATTTTATTTAAGGTGTGGAATTTGACTGAACCATTATTGCATAGGTAAGTGTCTTAATCTAAAACATCACAGTTTTGGTTGTGTGTTTAGAGAGCCATTGTCCTGCGATATGATAGTTCTTATCTGCACTCTCACGTTGTTTTGCAGCCACTTAAAGGTTTTCTTCTAGGATTGCCTTGTTTTTATCTTCATCCATCTGACCATCAACTCTAATTCTTAATAGCTTTGTTGTCCAGAGTCAAAAAAAGCACAATACAGCATGATGCTGCCACCAACACAAAATGTAAAGATAATGTGCAGTATTGCTTTTCATCAGACCCATTTATGCATATGAGTCAAAAAGTTCAAATTGAAGCAGAGCGCCTTCTTCCACATGTTTCCTGTGTCCCCCAGTGGATTCTAGTGAACTGCAAGCAGGAGGTCCCATGGCTTTCTTGCAGAAATTGCACAGATTCTTCCACCTGAGTTGTGGATCTCTGCTGCTCCCCCAGAGTTATCATGGCCCTATTGTGGCTGTGAAGGGTCATAATGTCCCCAAGTTTAATAAAGAAAACAAAAAAGGTTAATGTTTATAACCCAAAAATGCAAGATAGCTCAGGATTCATCTAGACTCAATTACAATAATATTGACAGCAGGCAATAAGCCTAGATATTGTTATGAATTCAAACATCAATTTTAATATTCAAAATAAAGCCCAAATAAAATCAGCCCAATCCCTTCTTAAAAGGTAAGATATACTATTATTTTAATGGCTTAAAAGTACTGGTTTCTGGGGGGGGGGGAAGTATCTCCAGCTGCTGCAGCTCATCTGACACCCAGCAGCCACAGTCATCTCCAGAATCAGTTCACTGCCACAAAAGACTGTTTGTAAAAGGGTCAAATTATTAAATTGCGTCACTGGTCTTGAGTGATCTCAGAGGTTCTTGTCAGGTGATTCATCAGCACTCAGACACTTGCTTACTCAATGATTTTAGGGCCCAAACTAAACAATGGGAGGCAGTGTTTTGTTTCAATACTCCTCAGCTGTGGAATAAATTCCCTGAAAATCTGAAACCTTCAGGAACTGTTGGAGGCTTTAAATCAGGAATGACGACATTTCCATTTACTGCAACTTCTCATCAAGATCAAGTACAGTTTTAGGCATTATTTGTCTCATATTTGTGCATCTTCTTTTTATTTCAAAATTATGAAATAATAACTATGAGAAGTTTGAACTTGTTTTAAAACTTTTCAAGTTTTTTGTCCTCAGCAGTCACACAATTACTGTACACTGAAAAGTTCACTTTGTGATTCTGCCTGCTGTGATTGGATCATTGATATAGAGAAAACACTTTTTTTATATTAAAGATTTATAAATTAAATATAAGAAATTCAGTGTTTACACAAAAGGTAACTGAATGTACACAACCATCTATAAAATTCTATTAATTTTACACCTTTTTATGCTTGTTCTAATGACTGTTTTCTGTGTTAGCATCATGTTTAGAACAATAACTTAAAGGTAGTTAATAACATTATCAAAACATCAGCAGTTTTGGGCAACACATTTTCATAGATCTAAAAATCTTATGAGCAAATAAACAGAATTCAACAATAATGCTTTCTTCATATAAAAATGGAAAAACAAAGCATTTCTTACTGAAATTAGAGCTACATTATCTCCAAGTATAAAAGTTCATCTTCTTTAAATACAATAATCATTAAACTGGTGCTTTAAGAGTCAGTATGCTGTACTGCGAATAAAAGTATTTACTCCCTTAAAGACATATTCTATTTACTTTTGTTGTTTGTTTGTTTTATAACACTTAAAGGTTTCAGATCATCAAACAAAGTTTCATAACGCACAGAGAGCCTAAGTAACTACAAAACTGAGCTTTCAAATTATGGTTTTGATAAAGGCAAAAATAAATAAATATATAAATATTGTATCCAAAATAATATATCCTTATTAATGTAATTTACTGCTTTGTTAAACCATGAGAAACTTTGATTAACCAGATTATATGATTCAGTTTCATTAGTCACGCCCAGGCCTGATTGCTGTCAGACCTGTAAAATAATGAAACAATTCAAAAACAACCAGTCTGACAAGATATATTACACCAAAAAATCTTTAAAAAAAACAACATAATTCCTTAATTTAAAGACTGTTAAAAAAATAGATGAAAAACAAAAGTTCCTGACAAAATATATCAGTCTGGAAAGGCTTACACTTAGACTTTGGGACTCCAGCAACTGAAGCTGAACAGAACCTTTTGTGGTTCCTGTTACATGTGGTGTATATCACAGCAACAGCCAAACATGGCCGTGGTTTGATTCTTTGGTACTTTGGGATAACTTGCCATAATTGAATAAAACATAAATTCTGTACCTAAATGAAGATGTCTGGGCATGAATTTGTGACTCTAAACTCAAACCCACTGCAACCAAAAGTTAAAGTTTCCCAGTGGTCTAGTCAATATCTGAACTATTGAGACAGAGCAAAGAGACTTTAAATTGGCTTAATCATGACTGAAAGGCCTAAAATGAAGCTGATCAAAACTACTCTGTGAAAAAAGTGGTATAAATTCCTTCACGGTGATGAAAAAGACCCAATTTCAGATTTAGCAAACATTTCATGCCTGTTGCTGCTGCAAAGGTTAGCTATGGAACCAGAAGGTAGGTTTAGGGAGAAACTAAGCTTTCTCATTTGGCAAGTTTGGGGTTGCTAGAGGGTTTCCTTTAATAAATAAAATTATTCTGTGAAAACTGCATTTTCTGTTTATTCTAGAGTTAGAATGGGTTTAATTATCTGAAACGTTTCAGTGAAACAAACAAAAGAAATGTGTAAGAAAGCAAATGATTCTTCACAGTAAGTTCAAGTGGTGGAAATAATTAAATAACACATAAAGTGCAGTAAACATTTTGTCATACTAAAGTAGGTTTGAGGTCATCTTTAAACACAACGGGCCGCGGGGGGCGACAGAGGTTGGTGTAGTCCTCGTACTCGCTGTCAGACGAGTCCGAGGAGCTGTCTGAGGACAGGAAGGAGCCCCTCTGCAGGCAGGAATCACAGTAAGGACGATGGTAGTAGCAGTAATCCGTGGAGCTGCTGGAGTCTGAGTCCCAGTATCCACTCGAGTCTCTGATGCATCGATGGCGTTGCTTGCCACTGTCGTCTTCTCCCGCACCGTGCTCAGGTGAACAGTTCTGTCTAGCGCAACGCCAGAGTGGGCAATTGTGAGACCGCGAAGCATGTCTTTGACAGTTTTTCGCTTCCTCCTGTTCCTCTTTATCGCCCTCTTTCTCCTCTACTGACTTGTCTAAGTCGGTGACGCTGCAATCAGCACGAAAATGTGTCTCATCTGGGTTTTGGTGTTCACAGGTGTCCCTTTTCAATTCACAAATGGGAACATCTGAGCCTGTGTAGAAGCAGGACGAGGACAAAGCTCTCCTGGAGGGGTGGAAGGGAGGCCGACGTTTTCTCATGGCATGCGGAGAGACGCTGGGGTATTGGAAGAGGGAATGAGAGGAACAGAGGGACAGAGGGGACAACGTGTTCAGTCTCGGTTGAGACGACGTCTTAGACGCCTGACCTGGAAATCGAAGCGCTGTCTCTAGGACTGCGTCCATGCTCAGCTCCTGGATGATCTCTTGCAGCTTCTCGCTGCTGACGAAACCAGTCAGTTTGGGATTTGGTCCCACCTGCATTGGCAGGCCACCATGACTGGCAAATTGTTCAACCCGAGAGGAATTCAGTCGTCTGCGGTTTTGAAGAGAGGTGACAAAATGAACAGCCTCCTCCGCTGTCCTTCCTGGAAATGTGGGGGACAGAGGTTGCTTGGCATTCCCTCTCACTGTGGATTGAGCTGTCTCTCTAGTTGCAGAGTTGGGGACATCTTTCCGGCTCCCACTCAGGATGTCATCAGTGAAGGGGGAAGAAGCAGGATGGAGGTCCATTGAGTTTTGACTGGAAGGTATCCGGAGTGCATTTGAGGGATCAGGAGGTAGAGTGAGATTATGAAGGGCTGGAGGAGGCAAAAGTCTGGATTTTGCGTCTCCCTGGGATAAACAGGAAGAGGAGCTTCCTTCAGACTGAAGCTCAGTGGTCTGGGTAGAGGATGAGTTGAGATAAGCAGCAGAGGAATCAACGTCCTGGTCCCCCAGGGGCTGGCTTGCTGTCATGAGCCTCAGGAGTTTATCCTTGGCGTTGTTTACCTGCTCTTGAAGACTGTCAATTGCAGCATTCTTCTGAAAAGTGAAAAGAAAAAGCAGAAGTTTAAATATTTGAAAACAAAAAATGCTAGATATTACCACTTAACTGGAGACATTTCCACAACTTGTTCAGATTTTAGTGTTTGGCTCATGTTCCTGTCAGGGCATTTGTAAATAATGGTGTTCGTGAAACTAAAATCCTAACACTTGTCCTTGGTGTACTGTCTTTAATAATTTGTTTTTTTTACCCTTTACAATAATGTTCACACTGAACATTACTGGAGCAGCTTGGTGTCCATCTGGGAGAATGAAACTATTCAACATTTAAATCAAGTTTATGAGGCAGGAGAGTTCTTCTGTCAGTTTTGGTCCCAGTTGTAAAGAAATGCTTAACAAGTTAGATCAATAGATAGAAAAAGCATGCTAACATTAGCCTAGCACTTCACCAAACTGCTCCATATGAAAACATTGTCAAGAGGAGGAAGATACGAATTTATCAAAGACAGATACATTGTAAATAGTCTGTACTTATAGCACTTTATTAACCTGTCATTCACAGGTTGTCATTCACAATGTACAGGGGTGTCAAACTCCAGTCCTCAAGGGCCGCTGTCCTGCAGTGTTTAGATGTGCCACAGGTAAAAAAAAACAGTGGAATGAAATGGCTTAATTACCTCCTCCCTGTGTAGATCGGTTCTCCTGAGCCTTGCTAATGACCTAATTATTCTTTTCAGGTGTGGTGCAGCAGAGGCACATCTAAAAGTTGCAGGACAGCGGCCCTTGAGGACTGGAGTTTGACACCCCTGTCATGAGAGGACCCAAATTTGGGTCCTCTCGTGAATGACAGGTTAAATCCAGAGTACACTACATTCAATGGTCACAGGACAAAATCCTGTAACCTGTGGGTAGGAAGGTGGGTACCTTTCTGCCGACCGTTGCTCAGTAATGGCTTAGTGGCTCAGAAAGTAGCAACGGTGGCTACCTTCTGAGCCACCGTTGCTCCAGATAAATAAAATCGCTTACCATAGCTTTTTTAAACTTAAACACCTGAATCTGCATTTTGAAAGTCATTGTTAGCTGGGTTAAAAGGGACCCAAGAGCCCACGGTGACCTCTGACTACGGCAGAAATCGTCAACAATGGGCTCATGAGAGTCAGATCTGGTCTACATTTTCAGAGTGGTAATAGTAAATTTAGCCCAATTAAAATATTCAATTAATGCTATTTGACACACAAAATCATCTCTTAATATGTAACAAGTTAGTTTAGAAGAGTTTTAACTAATTAAGAGAGGACTGAACAAGCTAAACATAGAGCTTAGAGAGAATGAAACCATGCAATACTTGCTAAGGTTATAAATTATGCTTTTACTGGCCTGGATGACCATGAATTTTAAATACTCTGGCCCTAAAAAGGAAGCTGCATTCTGATCAAGTCAGCTAGGTAGTTTTTGTAAAGAGAATTGTGATTTACAGAAGTAGACACACTGATGAGGCACGTTATAGCTCGAAGAAAGTGTCTGCATTAAGCAGCTAATCAAAAACCCTCAACAGCTTTTAATTACATCAATATATTTTGTCTTCAGATAATGGCATCGTCTAATTTCTCTGGCTCATTTTTTAGGGGCCATCCTCTTGTCCTGATATGGTCATAGCTGGCTCCACAAAGTAAAAGACAAAGACAGCCATTTAGAAAACAACTTGTTACATAACGACAGTTAAATTCACTTCTGTCTGACTGCTCGTCCATGAACAGTCCTACACTCTGACAAACTCTAACAAACAAGATGATGCAAATGTTCCCAAAGAACTTTCATCATTTTGACCAACGGAGAAGTTTGGATGACTGGTGCTCACATGCACTGAAATATTAAAACACACATGTAAAGAATATAATCTCTGTTTAAATTAACCACTTTGTGCATTAAAAAAAAACATTACATTACCTCATTCAAGAGCTTTTTCATTGAGCTGTTCTCCCCCAGCAGGAAGTAGATCTCGTCCTGGCTGTAGACAGATGGCTGACTCTTACTGGGGCTGCTGAAATATTTGGCCATCTGACTCGGGTTGTTCTGATCCTCCTCAAACTGTCGCCATTGGGTCAGCTGCAATAACACAAGTTTGATATTTAGGAGTTTTATGTGAGTTACACGGAGTCCCAGCAACACTTAAACCTCTAGGACGAGAAATAAATCCTTTCAGGGATATCTCTACGAGGTGCGCTTCAGAGCACTGCTCATTGTTGAACTATTTCCTTCCCTCTCGCTGCAGACGCATTCCTTTAAGTTAACATAAACCTGTTGTTAGACTCTCAGAGTCATAAACCTGTTTGCAGCCTGCAAAGATTTGACTCATTATCAGGACTTCCTTGTGAGTCATCTTCTCCTGACAGACACCGAAACTTCATCCATCAGTGCAACAAACACGTCAGGTTTATTGGTTTTACCCTAAACCTTCCTTTACACACACTGTCATCTTTCCATCTGTTACAGTTTCTCTTTGTGGGATGGATTTCCTCATGACGGATCTTAAAAAAAAAAAAAAAATCTTCTCACATTTTGGGATTTAAGCAATAGATAATGAAACTGTAACCAAAATTATAGACAACATGACTTTATCTCGTGTTTTTTGTTTAAACTAATTACAATCTAAGCCAGAGGTTCCCAAACTGTGGGGCGCGCCCCCTAAGGGGGGCGC